TGGAATATCATGCTACACATGACAGACATTGTCGATATGTTTGGAATATCATGCTACACATGAGAGACATTGTCGATATGTTTGGAATATCATGCTACACATGACAGACATTGTCGATATGTTTGGAATATCATGCTACACATGAGAGACATTGTCGATATGTTTGGAATATCATGCTACACATGACAGACATTGTCGATATGTTTGGAATCGCAAGAGGTGTACCGGAGCCTGCCGCGTAGTGGTTAGTCGTTTCGTCGTTGCATGCAGGAGACCAAAGTTCCAATCCCGAGTGTTAAGAAATTTTCAGTCGAGTAATCTTGGTCTTTCTGTTCGAATGTTGTGTCCCTCTCATCCTGGGTGGGCCATGACGGGAAGAGTGGGACGCCTACGTCCTAGGTGGGCCGTGAGAGCCATGGTGGGAAGTCTTGACATACATAGACGGAAGCCTACGTCCTAGGGGGGCCGTGAGAGCCATGGTGGGAAGTCTTGACATATATAGACGGAAGCCTACGTCCTAGGTGGGCCGTGAGAGCCATGGTGGGAAGCCTTGACATACATAGACGGAAGCCTACGTCCTAGGTGGGCCGTGAGAGCCATGGTGGGAAGCCTTGACATACATAGACGGAAGCCTACGTCCTAGGTGGGCCGTGAGAGCCATGGTGGGAAGTCTACATCCTGGGTGGGCTGTGACAGGCATAGTGGGACGCCTACGTCCTAGATGATCGAAACTGTGTGGATGAGGGTGTAAAAACGCTCAGATTTAGAATTTAGATTCCGAAAGGAGGTGTCAGGATAATTCTTGAATTAGACACAGGTACGTAGTCCAGGTTTTCTGGAACAAGTGTTTAAGTAAGCTACTGAGAATCAGATGGACAGACAGGGTCACCAACGAGGAAATATTTAGAAGAGCGAGACAGATCCCAGTCAGAGATGAGGTGGGAAGAAGGCGGTGGCGATGGATTGGACATGCTCTCAGGAAGTCAGGCAGCTGCATAACAAAGAAAATGTTGGATTGGAATTCACAGGGTAAAAATGAACAAGAAGAAGAATCACAGAGATTGATGTACAGAGAAGTGGCAAGACATGGACAGCATCAAGTGACTAGCCCAGGGTAGGGAAAGGTGGAAAGTGTTTGTCCGTGGCCTATACCCTAGTGCAGGGTGAGAAAGTGTTTGTACGTGGCCTATACCCTGGTGCAGG